GAACAAAATATAAGAGGAACAAAGAAGCAAAATCATAGGAAATGTGAAAAAAATATAACCGAGGGAAGGAAAAACAAACTTTAAAAAAAAAAGCGAGAGAGGATAAAAATTTAAAATAGAAAATAAATCTAAAAGCAAATGCATGATTTCCCATGTACCATTATTTTAACATTTAATAAAAACCAATTTAAATGAAAAAATAAAAGGGAACCAAGATAATATTAAAGCAAAATGTGAGAAGGAGCAGAAAGGAAGGGAACTGTTCTTTGCATTTATATCAGGGGTTTATGTTACTTTTTTTTCTTTTTTTCTTTTTAACGCGGGAGAGTTACTTTTCTGTTCCCTTTAACCCCAAGCGGGCTCTGCCTCCCTGGGCAAGTAGGGGGTGGAGACTCAGGGCCCCGGGGCCAGGTGAGCCTCTCGGTCACTGCCAGGTGCCTGGAGCCTCTGGATGGATGCCCCAGGAACGCTGGGCAAGCTCAGTGGCTTGCAAGCTGGCTCCACCCAGCGTTGATGGGGCAATTGTAGGCCTCCAGGTGACCCAAGAGTCCTTGGTCCCTCCTGTCCGAAAGGTGCCTGGAGGGGGGTGCACCTGGGGCTTGCCCAGCCCTGGGGTTCCCAGTCCTTAATGGTCCTTAACCCACTGTGATGACTTCCTAGGCCTTGAGGGAAGGGAAGGAGAGGGATGGCTGCTGGTGGCTTGTGAGATGCCCGGAAACCCCGGAATCCTCAGGGTGAGCCTCTTGGGGTCACCACCTCAAGCTCCTGTCCTTGGGGGCAGGAGATGCCCACCCCCCGGGGGATATAAAGCATCTCTCCCTCCTCACCCCTCACCTCAGGGCCACACGATGACCCTGGGGCGATGGTGGACCCCCAGATTCATAGGCCCTCCAGCCCCTTGGGAAGGGGGCTCACTGACCCTTTGGGGGTCCTTGGACTCGCTGAAGCCCCCTCAGGGCCCAGCGGGTCCAACCATGACACTGCAAAAAGGTTTCTTTTTACAAAAGAAAAAGGAAAAACAAGTGGTGATTTTTTTTTAATAAAAAAACCACAGACTATAAATAAATGTAAATATATAATAAGCGGATTTACTTGCAAGAAAATCAGATAGTATTTTTCTTTTCATTCTTTTCCAGCTTTAAACTGTGAAAACAAAGCAACAACAGCAACAAAAACGGGGTGGGGTGGGGTGGGGGAACTTAAAATTTAGCAGGGAACTTGTAAAGAGAAAGCAGAAAACAAATATACAAATCCATTTAAACAAAGAAACAAACAAAAAAGCTGCTCTGAGAGATGAGAGCTGGGCTTCAGGCAGGAAGGAGAGGGGAAAGGCCCTAGGGAGCTGCAGGGAGTGTGATGAAAGCTCTCTTCCTTATACCAGGAAGGTGCTGCTAATGTGGAGGAGAGAGAAACAGGATCGAGAATTCGGTCTACACGAGGGAGATCGCATGCCCCACTCACACACTCACACACACGTGCATTGTCCTCGGAGCCCAGTGCTAGCATCACTCACGGGGACACCCACTCAGTCTAAACCCTTCCATCCTCTTCCACAACCAGAGGCAAGATTCATGCCCTCCGAAGCCATTGACAACAACAGCTCCATACTGGCCTTTATGCTCATGTGTGCCCTCCTACCACACCTCACACACACATGTACACACACACACACCTCACTCACATGCATGGAAAGGGCACCAGTTTAGAATCCAGCTCTGGATTCTGGAATCTCTTGCTGCGTGGCCGCTCTGGGTCTCAGTTTCCCCCTGTGTAAGCATGTGGATGCGCTCCAAAGGTCCATTCTCATTCTTGGTGTCATTGACTTTTAAGATCTGCCACCTGCTCAGAGGAGGATGCCAAGGGATGACCAAAATAGCCACCATCCAGCCCCCAGACGTTGAGAACATTCCCAAACCATCAGTCAGCCGCTCAGCCACACACACACACACACACACACACACACACACACACCATATGCCTCCTCACTGTGCTCCCAATCCCCTGTCCCCACATTCAATGTCAAAGCAAAAATACACACACGTGAGCAAATGTCTTCTGTGGTTCAGACAGAGAGAGGGAGGCACCAGAGGTCCCCAAGCCACTCTTCATTTTGTGTCCCCTTTCTACAATGCCATAACCCGGTCACAGAGAGCAGAGGGGACTTCCTTGCAAGAAGAGATCAGCCACCAGGCTTCCCCCAGTGTCTTCGGGGATCAGGGAAAAGAAGGCTCCTTGGAGGTTTGCTGGGAAGGGTAAAGGCTGAGGGAGGGAGAGGAGAGCTTTACAAACTTTGGTCCCAGCCCGAGGACCAACCCCAAAAGTTCAACTGAGACTGTGGACTGAAGTTTGGGGGCATTCCACATTGCTCCCCTTTCTCCTCGGAGCACCGAGGGACGGTGCAGACTGAAAGGAAACCCATCGCTTTCCCAAGCTCAGATTTCCTGCCGGTCACGCTGCTGAAGGTGGGGGCCCCTGCTGCCCCCATCAGCACCGCTTGGTTTGTCTCTTTCTTGCCACTGGCCTGGTCTGAGGTTTCTTTAGCTGAGCTCATGGACTTGTGGGGAGTGGCTGGAACATCTCTGGGGGCTAGCACACCCCCGGCTGCCCTTCCCATCTTTTGTCTGGGAAATGAAAGCTCTTCCCTCAGGTCAGTAGCAGCCGGAGCCCTGAACCCAGACTGAGCCACTAGACAGAACATCTGCCCGCCAGCCCAGAAGTGCGTGAGAGGCCACGGGGGCCCCAGGACAGAGCAACAGGGGCCAATGCCAGGTGTGGTGCAACCCAGTACCGCTCCATCTGGGCTGAAGTCACAATCTCTCCCTCCCCACTCCAACCTTACCCACTGCCCCACCAGATTCCAAACCTGAAAGGATCAGGGACTAGAGCGAAGGGAGAAGCCGTGCTGAAACAGCAAACAAGTGGGCACCATCCGAAGAGGAAAACTGCCCCAGTTCTCTGAGTGCTGGCAGAGTGTCTGGGATGGCAATCAGAGCTTCTTCCCAGGCCGGGAGGCCTGGGGCCTGGGTCCGCTGGAAAAAAAGCCATCCGGGTATGGAGTCAAAGGGCTAGGGGGCCGGGAGGGAAGGAGCTGGGATCAGGACTGCCAGGGCGTCGCTTGCCAGAGTAGACGATTGCTCATGTCCAGCTCAAACCAGTTCAAGAAACCAACCTCCATTTTATTTTGTTGGTGGGTCCTTTTTTTTTTTTTTTCAAACTGTTAACAGAAAAAAAATTTTAAAAAGCAGAAAACTAAAAAAAGAAAAAAAAGAAAAAAAATCCTGGTACATGAAATAAAGATTTTTTTTTATAGCTTGGTCCTCACTTCAGTGGATTTCTTTAATTGCTTTCCCAACTCCTGGCATCCCATTTCAAAGCATCCTAAAGCCTAAATCTGAGAACTAAGGATGGGAGGCTTAGAAGTCATGCAGTAGAGTTTTCCTACCCGCCAGGTTACAAGTCTCTTCTTGAATATCCCTTACTGATACTTGCACACCTCCAGGGACAGGGGTCTCACCCACTCCATAGGTAGTCAGCTCAGGTGACTATAGCAAAGTGCCATAGACTGGGTGCCTCAAACAACAGACATTTATTTCTCATAGTTCTGGAGGCTGGGAAGTCTAAGATCAAGGTGTCAGCAGATTTTGATTCCTGGTGAAAGCACTCTTGCTGGCTTGCAGACAGCCACCTTCTTGCTGTGTCCTCACATGACGGAGAGAGCACACTCCTGTCTTTCTTCCTTCACTAGAAGGACACTAATCCCATCATGGGAGCCCCACCCTCACAACTTCATCTAAACCTAATTACCTCCCCAAAATCTCACCTCAAAATAACATCACTTTGTGGGTTAGGGGTTCAATATATGTATCTTGCAGGGAGACAAAAATTCAGCCTACATAGGATGCTCACCTAACAGGAGAAGTTGACCATCGACATTGGAAAAAGATCCCCTTTGAAGGCAGCTGAAGAACTAGCCCACCAATGTCTGCCCTGCTCTGGTCAAACCTCCAGGGTCAGTTATTTGAAGGAAGGCGGTAAACACCTCCCCAAATGTATTAAATACATTTAATTTTGTTTATCTGAACTTAAAAAAAATTGTCATATTGAATAGGATGGTGGAAAGAAGAAATTTCCAAATCAAAGCAAGATTTTAAAGTAGACCCAAAAAGGACTCAACGGTTGGCAGATTGTAAAGTGCTTTTTCTCCTCCTTCTAACAGGGACTTCCTGTGCCCGCCTTCCATTACCACCCTCAATGAATTTATTATCCTTGATTCAGAAGGTCAGGTGTAAACTCACAACCAATGCCATGACAAACAGAAAAAAAGAAAAACTGACTAAAGCTTGTTTAAAATGAAAACATTATGATACATCGCTCTGAAAAGAGAAATAAAGCATGACATCCTTGAGTTTTCAGTGGTAGAATAAGCCAGCCCCCTTCGACATCCCAGTGACACTGCAAGGTCTCTTCTCCATTCAGTCCCACTCGCATCTCCCATTGCAGACCGAAAAAAGCATGGCAGTCTCATCCATCACAATGGCTGGGATTCACTGGCCTGGTTATTTTAACATTTGCATTTGGAGAGTCAGAAGAGTGATGCAGTAGGGTAACTGAGTCACCTTAGAAACAGTCGTAGCAATGCACAGTGATGGGGACCAGGGAGAGCCCGAGACGTCACAACCCCAAGTCCTG